TGACATGCGTATTATGTAGAACATCACTACATGTTACGCTGACAGCTGCTCACGGCCATTTCGCTAGCTTCACTTATACCAAATTTGGTATTGCGTGACGTGAATGGACGACAAACAGAAATTCCAGGCGGAAACATGATAATCATGACATGGAAGTCATGTACAGCATAATACACGTCCGCTTCGTAACTTTGTGCTGATTTTAAAGTGACATATCAACCTCCCTCATTTGTGCTTCGCATATCATCGATTCCCACAGTACGTGAGATCAGCCATTTTCTTTTCTAGAGCGTTTGTTCTCTTATACTAAGCTTCTTCTCCAAGGTAGCGTGGTGGTGTAAGTATTTATTTTTTTTTTATTTATTTAATTATTTATTTATTTATTATACCCTCAGGGTTTTCACATTACAGAGGAGAGGGGCATGTTATATATAAAAATGAGAAACAACACTTGATAAATATATACAAGAGCAAAATTTCAATAATTGACAGAATAATACAGAATTACGTTATATATAAACTACGTCAACAAAGACAACGTAGCAGTAGCGATAATGCAGGTAGTACATGTTCAAGCACTAAGCAAAGAACAACAAACACTCTCAAAAACAACAAAATACAAAAAGGACATGACACACATGTACCCATACACATACATCCATCCATATATACACATATATAACACAATGCAGAAATCAAGCAGCGCCAAACAGGTTTTGTAAAAAAAACAACCTTAAAACGTGATGTGTCGGTGATTGCGGTAGCTGATCGTGGGAGCAGATTTCATTGTGAAATAGTATTGTGAAATAGTAGTGAGCTAATACTACAAAATTGTTTGTTTTCCTTCAGGATCCCTTAATTACGGGGCAATCTTCGGTAGACAATGGAGGGCAGCCCTTATTTTAATCCCAGCTCGGAGTTATCATTATGTTCACAAGCTTGAACATACATGTCATATGTAAAAGCCGTCGTTGGTTCCTAGTACTGCATCATACCTTCTCTCTGTGGCGTTGCGTGGTTATTTATCAGTACAATGACCACCCATAAATCCCTGCTGATAAGTTATGGTGCAACTTAATAAAAAAATTTCTTGTTTTATCTGTGTTCGCAATTTCATAATAGGGCTTTGTCAACAGGAGTGGAAGCAGCTTATTAATATATCACAAGTGGTTTGAATAATAATAATAATAATAATAATAATAATAATAATATAATAATAATAATAATAATAATAATAATAATAATAATAATAATAATAATAATAATAATATAATAATAATAATAATAATATTAACATGATGAATTTAACAATTTTTCACATTGTTTAAAACATCGCTTGTATAAATTTTCCTCTATATCATCAGTGCAACAAAATACAGTTTCAAACACAATAGTAATAATCTTCCGTCTCCACTGATACCTTCCACCTTAATAAATACAGCAGGTTTTTGATTAGTTATGAGGCCTTCAAATGGTAGCGTCTAAGCGTAAAGCGTATTGGTGACAATCAGCGAAAAACAGCGTATTATAGAGTAGCTACATATGTGTACAGACGGTTTCTCATAGCACCTACCGTGCATATATGCATACGTCAACGTAAAAATGACAAATATATGTGAACAGTTCTTTACTTTTAATGTTCATAAGCTTTTCAAATTTTACGACCCTTCAAGTCAACATTCGTGACGAGGATTTATTAAGTCTTGAAAGCCGTATTCTCTGGGTAAATACTTTTCGTGTATGTGCACATTAGTCTTTTAGACACTCACTGATATGCTCCTTTTTTCGCATTCTCTTTTTTTTTTTCTTTCAACTTCTGCACATGGATTAGAAGGCAAGAACAACAAGTGTTAAATCACGCTGTGTAGCTGGCACTCTTGTAATAACTCTATTTCTTTTTTTTTATGTCTTGGTAGCGACAACCTCAGGGATCAGAAGTCAAGGCAGCTGAAAGAAAGTGCCACAGTCATTCCAAGTCTATTGCTTGAATGCTACAGCATAAATCAAACTGCGTAAACGTTTTTCTGCGGATTATACTACGAGGGAGTGTGGAAGTATGGTGCTTCAAATCCTTCTTCCTGGCTCTCTTTTCCTATTTCTATTTTTCTTGAGGCCACAAACTGCGGCGCGAAAAAGGCGGCAAGCGGAGATATATTTTATGGGCAGAGAAAGAAGTAGTGGTCACAGTGATTTGAGCCCATTTGCGTGCAGCTGCAAGATGAACGGCTGACAGCGCAGCAGGCAATGCTCAGACAAAATTAATGCAAAATGCATTATTTGTTCATCATCCCTCAATCCACGTCTTGGTGTCCCTATCTCTACCCTTCCATGCATCTCCACTAGGCTAGATATTTTTTATTTTATTTTATTCTTTCTTCCCAGCTGAGGAGAAATAAGTGCAGACAAAATACGGTGAAGGGAGCAGCCGCTGCTCGCTAATGCCCATTGTACTTTTGGCGAGAAGTGCTGCGGTGCTCTTTCTGGCCGCCGCCCAGAAAAAAGCGCGCGCTGTTCTTCTTGCCTCAGGAATTCTAATGCGGTCGTATTCTTGGCGAGGCGCCGCGGAACGCGTAATGGCTTCATAGACGTCGGGCTACTTGAGCTGCTGGCGGCGGCGCGCTGCGGTGGAGGCCCAGAAGCCGGCTGTGGCCCGCGAGGCCCGCCGACTTGCTGCTCGGGGCAGTGCTGCCCCTGGGCCAAGGGTTCGCCGATGGCGCGTTGTTTGGCGCGTCAATGCTCTTAGCGCGTGCTCCCGCGCGCTTTTTTCTATCGTCTGCCAGAGTATCGAGCTACTCCCCGTTGAGCGTATGCAGTACACAAACAAGCATCTCTGCGTACGTCACTGCAGAACTGCATATATACTATAGTCACCGACTTCAGTTCAATACCAGTCGCCGACTTCAACTTATGGACCGTAGGACCTAGCCTTGTTATCGACTCTTTATGTCAAATTACGTAGCTTTATGTCACTAAATTTACATTGTATCGGGCCACGCTCGGGCAACGTGTGGGTTTCTCAGTCATATACGATACCCAGAGCTTAGTCCACTTGTCATGATTCACGTAGTGGTGGTGTCTGGCCTTTTTTTAAGCACTCTTTCTCTCTTTTTTTTTAATCTCGTCCTTTCTCTCTCTTTCTCCTTCTATCATTTTTTTCTTTTGCTCGTGGCAAGATATCCATAGGGCTTCTACAGCAACGCACTTATATGCTTCGAATAACGGCATGCTCTGCAAGCGTAGATGCCTAGCCTGGTTGTTATGACGCTTGCTTCTGGAGCGTGGGTACTCATGCTCCAATCCGTAATCCTGCCCAAGTAAATTTATTTTATTTCTTTATTTTTCTCTGTCTCTTTTTTTCTCTCCTCCTTCCTCCTCTCCACTTTACTGAGTGGAGTTTTATGGTAATGCTTGAAACTTTGTATATCGAAGGTCGATGGGCGTTTATAATGCTGATAGTTTTCTATTAACTTTCGGCATGACCACAGATTAAACTTACACAGCTCGTATGTCAAAAGATGTCATTGTGTATTCGCTATAGCAGCGCTCTTTGTAACGAGTTTCAACTGTATATTTCTTGCAATACGTTAGTGAGGCAGGTGGGCACTTTATTCCTTCTACCATCCTGTATATTACGTCAAAAGTGAACATGCTTCCTGTTGCTGCCAGTTTATTGCGCTCCAATCAGAGACCCCCTCCCCCCTCCCCCCCCCCTATCTGTAGGTCTCCGACCATACGCTTACATGTCACCTTTAAGCTTTAACCTATTCTTCGTGCCTTTTAATTCACGTTTAACGGTTTCTTTCTCAATTTCTGTTACAAAGCAAAACCAAAATAAACATGTAGAAATATCAACGTAACATCGGGGCTACTAAGGAGCTTGTGTATTATTGTCGTTACTGAATGATTCCTGGCTCATATGTCAACGCGCCGTGCCTAATTACATTGCCATATCCACCCAGAATGTTTCGACCGAATACCTTGCCGGCTCTGTAGTTGGTCGTTTACTTCATATCCTGTCATATACGCAATTACTTTCATCATTTTTGCCCTTTTTATTTTTGATCTTTTTTTACGCTATAGCCCCTGATATTCTGACGCCTCGCTTCGGGGAAATAACTCCCCGAGACGCGTGCCTAATGCTCACAGCCTTAGTTCGACCTGCAGCTTTCACTGCGGTCCACGTCCGTAATTACCACGAGAAAACAGGGCACTTACTCCTTCAGTATGCAAACGAGTATGATTATGCATATGAACGGGAAAACAATTTGTGCGCGAGACTATGTCATTTTCATTTGTTAATTGCTTTCCGGTGGCAGCATTTAATGACGAGCCGTCCGAATATGTAAAAAGCAGATCTGAGACTTTTATTTTATGACAGCGCTCTGCGGGCAGGATATGGACGGTTTTTCCTGTTCTCTTATATGCCCCCACCCCTCCCTCCAGCGTTCTTACATCAAACTACTTGTCCGAGAAAAAAATGAACAGGAAAAAAAACTCCTCCGTCATCACAAATGTAGTAAATGAATGTCACCTCAATTAAGTGTTCTAAAGCAACAAATGACTTTGATCGCAGCCTGCAAAGCATCTGACACAAGGCACACATCTATTTCTAATTGTGCCTGGCTAAGCTCGTTGAACGCATACAGAGAGTTGGTTCTGGCCAACTTTTTGGACAAGCACAAAACAGGGATTGCTAGTCAAGACATGTGTCCTCTCCACTTCTGTTCTCGTCCATGAAGTCGGCTACAACGCCTCGCTAAAATATTTCAAATTTGTCGCTGAACTACACAGACGACAGTCGTGTGCAGCTGTCTATGAAGTATCCAGTGCATACTGTGTATTTAATTTGGACAGAAATGTGTACTTGTAAGCCTCGCAGTGTAAATCCAACCTTGCCAGTTAACTGCCATCGCCACGCTTTTTTCTAAATTTTTTTGGTGGGTTGTCTGATTTTTTTTTTTGCTCGTTTAGTTATGTACCACTAACTTTTTTTTCTGCAGGGTGTAGCGAGCAATGGAGTAGCCAAGGTGCTATACACATCAATCTCTCCTCAGCAATCAAGTTATAACAGAATAGAACTGAGCGCCCGTGGGTGAGTACACTCGTAAGTTCTCGCGTTGAATATATCAGATATTATTCACAAAAGCCTTCTAAAACAGTGTAGTGACTGCTTCCACAATACCGTATGCCTTATAAACGTGAATGAACAAATTGTCTCTGTTTTTTGCTTTATCTTTAGAACTATATATTTTCTAATGAAAATTATATCACAGCGAGGCTATTGTCGTTTTGACGCACCGACTTCACGTTGAGAAAAAATATTTTGCCGTAGATAAAATGACACTGTGGCAACGTATTACGACAGTTCGACAATACAATTTTGAATATTCACTTGAAGACCAGTGCTTATATTACAAAGTTGTATTGTGTGCAAATTTATGGCATACGCAATTTTCTCAAATTGCAGTGGCCTGCTGTTTGAAAATAACGTCATCGAATTTGAGGGGCGATATTGGAACTAATAGCACCAGTTGCGCATAAAGCGCCACCGTTCTATTGCGTCAGTCCGGAACTACTCGCGATAAGGAAGCAGCGAAATTTGAACCAAGGTGCGTCACGGCCATGTGTTTTAGTGAAAAGGTGCAAGTTAGCTCTCATGTGTCAGGGCATTTTCGCGGTCTGGTGCGTATTCTTTTTATTTCCAATAACGCACGAAAGCATCCCAATACTAACCTTTTCTTTTTCTGGGAAGCATGTCTGGGAAGTGTCTGGGCAGTCAGTGCATCGTCTCTTCTTCCAGAAAAACACAATAGTTTTTGGCGCCCCTTAAATGTTTAAGAAAGAAAGAGATAGACACCACCCATGGCACGCCTACAATAAGCTGTATACTCGTGTATTTCAAAATGATTGCCGATTTTTCTCACGAGATTCAACCTCGCGGCACACCTTTCATTCAAATTTGGTCCCTTCCTTGTCACTGTTCGTTCCGGTGATACGTAATGGAGGGGCCACTCTTCGTGCACGACGGGAACGATCAGTTTCAATCTCGCCCTTGAAATTCGATGACAAATATGTGGAAATGAGTCAAAATTTTGTGATTTCCAAGAAATGGGTATCCCGTCAATTATCAAGAACTACAACGATCTGGAATGAACAATGACGTTCAAGTAAACAACTGCACAGTTCACTAACGAATTTGAGTTAATCAGCTGGGTCACCGTCAATTAAGCTGCCGAATAGTGTTTCCGCTTTCAAATAAAGTGAATGCGGGATAACAACGGAAGCCTTACTGTCATGGGTTAGCTGTAAAAAAAAAAAAAGGTTTGCTTAAAAAAACACCCCTTTTAGAGATACCGAGGCAGCTTCCCCACGTTTATTTTGCTTTATATCTTAAGACAATGCTTTTAAGCGTGTTGGCACTTTTTAAACAGGCTTCGTCAGTTATATGTAACAAGAATGGTGTTCCGCTTTAATGACAAAGCCTTTGACCACGATGGCCAACTAGTATGAGCTAGGGGATGCGGATTCAATACCCCGCCAGGCTGGCCGCGTCCGTGCAGTTGGGTGCACGTTGAAAAAAACCCAAGACGTAAAAATAATCCCCTACAATATATATATATATATATATATATATATATATATATATATATATATATATATATATATATATATATATATATATATATATATATAGTGAGATCTAACTGTCAATAATGACAAGGAATGTATAGGGGAAGTTAGTAAACTAATTTAAAGTAACTAAGAAGAATTCCTGCTCACGGCAAGTTATTTTATCACCTACTTTTCTTTCTTCTTACTTACATTACATTGATTCTAATAACTTCCTCTATACATTCCTTGGCATTATTGTCTGTTAGATCTCTAGATATCATTAATATTGTGTCAAAACACGGAAAAAACCAGCCCTTATTTATACATTTATACACTTCTTTCCTACACACACACACACACAAATATATATATATATATTTATATTTATATATATATATATTTATATATATATATATTTATATATATATATATATATATATATATATATATATATATATATATATATATATATATATATATATATATATATATATACAGCACCCTTTCGCTGGGTCGGTTGTTTTTTTTATCTAACTTCATTCGTTCTCTTTTTCCTCTCGCCGGGTATGCGCCCATGCCTGCGGCACTGCACTTGTCATCAATACACTCGGCCACGCTGCGTGCATGCCAGTCCTGCCAAGCTTGCCCTTCGCTGGCACGGGTCCTTTTTTTGGACGGCGAAAACATTCAGAGGACCTAGGCTATTAACCGCCATAGGTAGAACTATCCTGGCTGTGGCGGCTGCATTTCCGATGGAGGCGGAAATGTTGTAGGCCCGTTTGCTCAGATTCGGGTGCACGTTAAAGAACCCCGGGTGGTCGAAATTTCCGGAGCCTTCCACTACGGCGTCTCTCATAATCATATGGTGGTTTTGGGACGTTAAACCCCACATATCAATCAATCAATCATAGGTAAAACTAATGCTTCTGGTGGGCGGCATTGGCTGCCTCGCATAGGCCGGTCTTGGCCACTGTGCGTCTTGCGTTGAAAGTAAGGCGATGATGGCTATGGTGGACGCCATTGACTTTGTCGTGCCCGTCGTTGCGTCTTGCTTTGAAAGTCGGGCGACGATGGCTCTGGTGGACGCCATTGAGTGTTTCACAGTGGTCGTCGTCGGCCCGCAGGTCTTGTTGAACCCCGAGTTGCCAATACCGCCTATGGCGGGCGGTATTGGCTGTATCTGTGGGGTCTCTCTCGTGGACGCCATGACTCGCCTTGCGGGGCTGTTGAACACTCTGGTGGGTGACCTTGGCTGTCTCGAGGCGGCCGCAGCAGTAGGCCATTCAGTTTGCGCAGTTTGGGGCACTGGTCTTCATTCCCGTCAGCGTTCTGGACAGGGTGCGATTCCCAGCCATCATGCATTGACGCAGGAGCCTCTGCGCTGCCATCTCTGGCTCCTCTAGTTCTGCGGCCACGAGGAATCATGATGCTCCTTTGTGCTTCTGTACCACGGCGTCCATACAAGTTAACGCCACCATAGCTGCACATCCCACCGCAGACATGAGGGGCATACGAACGCGTCACCTCGCTGCGCCACGTGAGCTGGCCACCGTAGAAAGCAGTGTTGCCAGCAGGAGAATCACTCTGCCTCGACAAGCCTTCGATTCCCATGACCTCGACGGTGGTTAGCACCTTTGTTTCTCTACCGAGACGTCTTCCGGGTAACGAGAAGCGTCCACGCACGCGTCCAATAACTGCAGGGTCCGCACCACTGACTCAGAATGATCAAGACGGACCTCGCTGGTATCACTGGGAACTGTTGGTAACGTAGACAGGTAGGGTGTGTCATATCGTGACCCATCCGGCAGGACAGGGGCGGACGACTGCACGTGCCCAGGAGGTGTTGGGTTTGAAGGCCCCATCGCCAATTGCTGAGGCTCGAGGGAGGTCTTGTTGCCTGGTGTCGGGCTGGAGTACTGCGGTGAGACATCGAGCTGGCGCCCCACTTGAGCTCGATGTGTGGTAGTGGGCACGTTGGCAAACGGCCCTGCTACCCTATGCCCCTCTGTATATCGCCCCACGAGAGGGGATGGGGTCACCGATGACTGAGATGAATTTGGGTCTGGTACCAGCGACGAGTCTGGAAGTTCAAGGGCAGAACTCGAGCGCTCAGCTGGAGCATCGAGATGGAACCCTTCTTGAACTCCATCCTCGCGACCGGTCAGGTTGGTCTCGGTTCTGGCAAAGAGGTGGGAGGGAGTCCGGCCAAAAGCAGCAATCAGCTTGCAGCTCCGTTCCGCCCACGATCGCTGCCGCACGCCTTCGTACCTGCGCCACGCTGCAGCAGGATTTTGAAGGCGGTCTATGGCTACGCACCACTTCTGATTTTCGCTTCAACCCTTGCGAGCTCTGAGAGCGTTGATGGTAGCCACCAAATTGACAGCGTCGTCCTGGAACCCGTCGAATTCTGGTGGTTCGCTGACGGCCGGTGATGGTGGGTCGGCATGTGAAAATGCAGAGATTGCTGAGTCGAAGCAACCAATCTGGTTTGAGAGCTGCAGGAGGGCGCACATCACCTCTCTACGTTGCTCAGATGAGCAGGCCTAAAGGTCTCGTGAGGCGACTGCATTTAACATGCGTTCGCTTGCACTCAGAACTGGTAAGATGGCCGGGAACAGCGCGAAGCTCGTTGCTTCAACAGCGTTGACCATGACGTGGAGTCGTGCGATGGTACGTCGCAGCTTCATGGCAATGTCGCATGAGGCCTCTGAACCACTTTGGTTCGCGTACGCGCAAGTACACGGTGCTAGGAGAATACACGGTGGCGACATGTACGTCCAAGGAAGCCTGAACAGCGTCCCTTGGATGTTCACCCATCTAAGAGGACCGAGAGCCGGATGCAGGCCACGGAAAATGTGCGTGACGTTCTCAGATGAGAGAAGCCTATGCGCATTTTGAGATGAAGCTGGTAGCCTGCCGTCTGTGAAGTGGTACCCTGGAACCACCGAGGAGGTGTAGCGAATCTTCGGGGTTGTTTAAGGTAGACACATCTGAAGACCATCCGGACGAAGAAGCGTGGGAGCAATCCTGCACAGGCAAGCGATGACAAGTCGGCACGATGATTTCGGGGAGCACTCATTGGGCGTTTATTTATCTAGTACAACTTAAGTTTACACAATGCACTAAGTCACAAATACAAAACACGAAAAATGATGGCATACCCCTTAGCTTGCATGACAGGTCTCCGGTGGTGAGATGCGCTGTTGCCCCCGAGTCCACTCACCCCAAAAAGGGCCCAAGTCGCTGCTTGAAGAGGGTTTTTCAGCATCCAGGGGTGCGCGGACCAATCAGGCAAGCCGAGGGAAACCAATCGCAACACGAATTTTCATGGTCACGTGAAGCCTGCCTCGCAACAAAACTGTAGCGGCTTTTTGAAACGGGCACATTCTCTAAAACATCCTTAACGCGCAAACTAGTGCTCAAACTTCAGTCCCCGATTGTCGTGGAAGACTCAAGCGGTGCCTCGCTCGTTTGGCGGTG